GGCTTTAGGGTTTTAGGGTTTGGGGTTTTAGGGCTTAGGGCTTTAGGGTTTTAGGGTTTCAGGATTTTGGGTTTTAGGGCTTTTGAGAGTCAAGACGGATAGCGGCCAGGCTTGGGAAGCCAGGGTCTAGGGTTGAGGGTTTAGGGGTTTAGAGTTTAGGGTCCAGGGTTGAGGGCTCAGGGTTATAGAGTTTAGGGTCCAGGGTCGAGGGTTTAGGGGTATAGAGTTTAGGGTCTAGGGTTGAGGGGTTAGCGGTTTAGAGTTTAGGGTTTAGGGTTGAGGGTTTAGGGGTTGAGGGTTGAGGGGTTTAGGGTTTAGGGTTTAGGGCTTGGGGTTTAGGTGTTCGGTGCTTCCACTGTCCTCTTGTCTCGCTCTCTCTTCCGAATCCCCCCGCGTAGAGGCCCAGACACCAGTGCCCCTTTATGGACTTGCTGAGTAACCTAACCTTCCAAAACCTACTTTTTTGTTGGTTCTTGGTATAAGCCCCAATAGGGAATATACAGGGACCCTACCAAAAAGTAGGTTCTATTGGGTTAAGGTTTTCATGAAAGGGTTAAGGCTTAGGGTTAACCTTAAACCCTAAACCCTAAACCTTAAACCAGAAACCCTAAACCCTAAACCTTAAACCAGAAACCAGAAACCCTAAACCCTAAACCCTAAACCCTAAACCCTAAGGGTTCAGGGCTTAGGGTTTCAACCCTTGGTTTCCACCGAGATTGGGGAACTAAGTCATGCAGCCAGCCCAGGCAGCTGCAGTTTCCGTAATTCCCTGAACCCGGACTCTTGGAGCTCGAGCTGCGGGATTTTGCATAGGATTTTGGAGGGCTGGGCTGCTGGGTTTGCAGTTCAGTGCTTCAGGGCTTCGGGAGGGCCTTAGGGTTTAGGGTTGCTTTAGGGGACAGAGCCTAGGCTCAAGCAGAATAAATGGACTTATATCCATGAGCTCCCCAGATCTGGGTTACGGGATAAGGTTTAGGGTTTACCCTTTAGGGCTTAGGGTTTGGAGACAGTTTGGGGGTTGAGTCGGGTGTGGACTGCACGACCGCGCCCGCTCTTCCATTGAAATTCTTCAAACCCCTAACCCCCCCCGAAACACCCGAACGAGACACACCTCAACCCCAAACCCGAAACACAAGACGATAAAGACGACATCCCCTACAATCCGAAAGTTCAAGCCCTAAACCCTAAACCCTAAACCCTAGACCCTAAACCCACAAAAGCCCTCATCAACTTGCGACCCTTGAAACCCGAAGATTTTTGGGGAGTCAAGGCACCGCCGTGCGTGATCATCAAGATGTTCAGGGGCCAGCCCCAAGCGTCTTGCAACCTCCCGAGCCTTGGGTGGGATCAAATAGTGCTGAAAGGATCATGGGACTTAGTAAGTAGGGTTTAGGGTTTAGGGTTTAGGGTTTAGGGTTTAGGGTTTAGGGTTTAAGGTTTAGGATCATGGGACTTAGTAAGTAGGGTTATAACCAAGGTAACTATACTTATAACCCCAAGTAAAGGACTTATAACCCTACTTACTAAGTCCCATGATCCTCCAAGTAGGGTGTGGGGTGGCGCGGGGTACATTCTATCTTTGAATCATAATAAGGAACCCAAAATCTTGTATGACTCATTTTTCGGGCTTTACGAAGCCCTAAACCCTAAGCCGTTTACGGCTAAGTGTATATATAGGCCCGATAAACTTATCGGAACCTTCAGCCCCAAAGCCAGAAATCCCAACCCAACAAACCCAGACCCAGGGGGTGGGGTAGGTGCTGGTAGTTTCTATCTAAGTATAATGCAATATCACCCCATATCCCATTCTAGTTACGAAGGCCCCTGTAGTAAGAGGGTCCAAAACCCCCAGCACCCTTCAGCCAAAGCACCACTTCTTCAGGCGCACCGTTCGCCGCAAGAAAGATCCCGAGGTTTCCTCCAACAAGTGTTGGCACATGTGCTTGGAGGATCGTGGGACTTAGTAAGTAGGGTTATAAGTCCTTTAATTGGGGTTAAGTAATTATAGTTACCTTAGTTATAACCCTACTTCCTAAGTCCCATCATTGACATCATCCTTTAAGTGCTCCCGGGTGTTTTTGAACGCCTTTTTCCACCTGCTGTGCACGGGGTTTAGGACTTTAGGACTTAGGGTTTTGTTGTCCAGGGTTTAAGGGCCAGGGTTTAGGATGCTGTTGTACGGGGTATCTGTCCAGTGCATCGTCCAATAACCCAAAGCCCTGCAACTAGCAAGGCCCTGAACCCCTGATCCCTAATGTAGGGGCCTTAATCATTAGAAACCAACCCCTAAACCCTAAACCCTAAACCCTATACTACATATTGAAAAGCCTCTCTAAATGAGAGCAAGGTAGAACAGGGTTTAGGGCTTAGGGTTTAGCGTTTAGGGTTCAGGGTTCAGGGTTTAGGGTTTAGGGGGGGCATATTGCAATACAGTTCTGTAGGGACCAGGGGGATAGTATGCATTATATACTCAACTCATTACTCAGGCCTCTATGTTCAGATCCCTAAACGCTAAACCCTAAACACTATAATCCTGAACACTAAACCCTAAACCCTAAACCCTAAACCCTAAACCCTAAACCCTAAACCCTAAACCCGCACCAGGATCGCAACGCTGCATAGTTCAGGGGGGTGCCGCGCCTCGGAATGCGGACCATGGTGCCACCACCTCAGCACAGAGGAGGGTTTAGGGTTTAGGGGTTAGGGTTTAGGGTTTAGGGTCTAGGGTTTAGGGTTCATTGGCTTAGGGTTTAGGGTTCATTGGTTTAGGGTTTAGGGTTTAGGGTCTAGGGTTTAGGGTTCATTGGTTTAGGGTTTAGGGTTTAGGGTTTAGGGTCTGGAGTTTTGGGTTCATTGGTTTAGGGTTTAGGGTTTAGGGTCTAGACTGTAAACCATTTCGGATCGGACACTTTAGGGTTTTGGAGTTCTATAGACCACCTTATAATGAAGCCCAATAAGGAAGGGAAAGCCCTGTACGTGCTTATGCTCATACCCGTTTGGGGTCCCTACTTCAGGGCTGAGACTTTACGTTAAACCTACCAAAACCTACCTGTATGTAGAGTCCCTCTGAAGTCCATGTTAGCGTTTACAATAAGGAACCTACAATAAGTCGGTTTTGGGGGCTTAAGGTAGGGCGTTTGGAGTCCTGTCGAGGTGCTTGCCATTGTGGTCTCGATTCGACGCTCCCACTCGGCGCGCCACGCAGTAGTCCTCCTGATCTATGTTTGTGGCTTGAGGTTCAAAGTGTCGGGTTTAGTTTGGGGGGCTTGGGGTGCTTAAGGTTCAAAGCCAAGCCGTGCACCCAACACCCGAAACCACAGAGCCCTCATGAGACCAAACCCGGAAATCGTCAACCCCAAACCCTGAACCCTACGCCCTAAACCCTAAGAAATCTCAATAGATTTCAGCTCCTTTGTTTTTGGGAGTCCAAAGATCCGGGGAATCTGGAGTTTGAAGGCTTTGTGGGTTGGGGATCGGGGGTTTAGGGGTTTAGGGGGTTTAGGGTCTGGGGTTTGGGGTTTAGGGCTTTCTCAGCCATGCAAAAGACATGCAGAATTCATGCGACGACTTATGGACAAGACCCTCCACAACCTTACGTGCCTAAGCTATGGGAATGGTGGGTAGTAAACCCTAAACCCTAAACCCTAAACTGGCCCTAAACCCTAAACCCTAAAGCCCTAAAACCCTAAAACCCTAAACCCTAAACCCTAAACCGTGTTTGATGGGTGTTCGGAAACTTCAGGGTTTGCAGGCTCTGGGTGCAGAGGCTGTTCGTCTTTAGCTTCCTGGGTGTAAGACTCCCTAAACCCTAAGCCCTACTGTAAGCCCTAAACACTCCAAACCGTAAACCCTAAGGGAGTTAGGGTTTAGGGTTTATGGCTTAGGAATTTAGGGTTTAGGGTCCTCGAACCCAGGGTTGAGGTTTTTGGGTTTAGCAAACCCTAAACCCCACCTGGACCCTAAAGAACCCACCTTTTTAGGGCTCCTTATTATGACTTCTTTAGAATAGTTCCTTAAAAAAGTAGGTTATTTGGGGTTAAGGTAAACTGTGAGCCCTAAACATTCTTGACTCCACATCTTAGGGTCTAGGGTTTAGGGTTGAGGGCTTCGGGTTTCGGGCTCGGGGACTGGACAGCGAAACCATGAAAGCCAAGAGGCCACGTCGGTGAAACTGAAGATTCCTTGGTTTCGACTCCAATCTGCATCACGGTTTAGGGTTTAGGGTTTTTTTAAGTTGAGAAGGCGCACCTTTGTTGTACCCGCCAGCGTCGGCACTCAACTGAGAAAAGCCACTCACTGTTCGCCCTCATAGATGTCACACACTGTTCGCCCCCAAGACATCATCACTGTCACATCCCATTGTCACTAAGGCGCCGAATCACCCAGACCCAGTCACGAAGGCGAGAAATATTGAGACGATACACCCCAAGTTCAATCCACTGACTTGTAGCAGGGAACGGATTGGTGTCATATTCCAGCCCTGAACTTGTAGTAGACACCGAAGTTGAGGCATTCCCGAATCGACCCGAAGAGGACATCGTCAAGTTTGACACTGTACTGGATCGCCCCGAAGTGCTTATAGACAAACTTTTCGATGTGCGTGGACTTTCCAAAGAGGCCAGTGTTAAATTTCTTGATGTCCAGGGTCGTTCTGAAGTAGTCACAGTCTCGAGGTAAGCTCGTCTGTCTTGAACCAACTCCACAGCTTCCTGATTCTCCAAAGAACTCGACCCCCAAGAAGCAGGTGTCCCAGACAGAGAGACACTTCCCGAGGCTTGTGGGCTCCCCAAAGAACTCGACGACGAAGAGGCAAATATCCCAGACGTAGAGACACTTCTTGGGGTATTCACCGAAGTCAATGAGGTATTCATCCCAGCAGTGGAGGCTTCCCAAGGAAGGCAGATACAAAGTCGAGCTGCTTCTTGAGGTAGTCCACATAGAGCGCGAGGAAGCCAAGCTGCTTCTTGAAGTAGCCCACGTAGAGCTCGAGGAACTTGTAGTCACAGAAGTCGTTGTAGGTAGAGGTGGACCTGCAGCGGCATCAGGAGGGGCATTAGGAGGTGGAGCATCTCCCCCACTGTCAAGACTTCCTTCCACCTCAGCACTGCTTTCTTCTTGTTCATCTTCCTCACTTTCAGGAGGCGGAGGGTGTCCCATGACCAAAGGCTGAGTGACAGCTCTGACTCTCGCTCTAGCTCTCCCCTCTCGGGGATCATGGCTTGGTACACCAGAACGACCTTCAGCTTCATGATCACTGTCAGGTGCAGGAGGTTCAACCATCGCCCCAGGAGGAAGCCGTCCCGAAGAGCTAGGAACAGTACCAAGCAGGCGCTGAGCACGTCCCTCACGGGCATAAGCAGTCCTGGGTGTACGGTCACGCCCCGTCCATACTCCTCAGCAGTGTCACGGAAAACTTCATCAAGGTCCAGGTGATTTCCAGGTCGTCGCCCCACTGGCATGGTGCTTGGGTCTTCTCGCGGAGGTCTTTCACGCACTGGAAGACGAGGAGGTAGTTCTTGTGGATCAGTTAGTGCATCATCGAGGCCTTGCTGTATGAGTTGGCGCACTATCGTCCCAAGAATGGCCCTGGGTCGGGCACACAAAGACAACAGTCGTGCACGTTGAGCATCATCCACCGGAAGAATCATCGCCCCAGGAACTTCACGAGTTTCCAGAACAGTAGCCATAATGGAGAGGATACGAGGGGCTCTTCTGACAGCCAGGTTCATCACCCCCAGGGTCCACATGGCTTGGGCACGAACTTGACTTGGCGCCCCCAGTTGGTCAGTACGACGAAGGATGTCTTCCAGGAACATGTCCAGTTCGGTGAGGTCCGCCCCACTGATTCCGTGGTTGAGGAAAGTCTGCCACTCAAGGATGTCAAAGGTCTGTGTTTGGGGCTCCTCCTCTGGCTCTTCATCCTCCCCACACGAGGAGGCAACACGTCGCTCATGAAGTCGGTCATCACGGCTGCTGCTGCGCTCACGGTAGCCCATTGTACGAAGCTCCATGGGTCGACGTACACGAGGAGGAGGACGTGCTGGTAGAGGAAGATGTTCAGGAAGGCGCCCCATTCCACGTGTATAGTGAGAAATGATTTCTCTCCCCATTTCCAGCATGAGGTTGGCCAACCTGGCAGCCCACGAAAGCAGACGTATTCGCTGAGCTGCAGTTTGTGGGGAACGGAGTAGTGGGATAGAACATCCCGGTCGGTTCGTGAGCCTCCTTTCGACGATGTCGGTGACACGTTGGAGCACCCCCAGAACATGTCTCCATCTCGTCAGCCAGTATTGCACAGCCCACCTAGCCTCCGCCCCTTCATCACCCTGCTCCAGCAGAGTCAACCCACGCAGAAATTCACGTAGGGAGCGACGTCCATCATCCATGACTCGTGCCTCCTCCAACTCAGCTTCTTCATCTTGTGTGAGCTGCATCATGCTGTTGTCATCATTTTCCGGCGGAGCATTGACCTCATCCACAATGTGGTCCACGAACTCATCCCGGCTCCCAGCAGCTGCCGCGAAACGGGCTCTTCTTCGTTTCGAAATTTTCCATAGACCAATCGCGAGACGTCCTCGTTCGCGCCGCCTTGCTTGACATACGTCAAGCGGTCCTTGATGGGCAAACGGCCCCTAAACCCTAAACCCTAAACCCTAAACCCTAAACCCTAAACCCTAAACCAAAACCCTAAACCCTAAACCCTAAACCCTAGACATGTCAGGCTCACATACGGTCTTCGGCCTTGAGGTCATCATCGGCCGACCTGTCTTGACATCATCACGGGCGTAATCGAGAATGCAAGGAAGAGGCTTCACGAGTTGTCCGACGTTCTCCCAACTTGAGTCGTAGCCATTCAGGGTTTAGGGTTGAGGGAACCTCAAAATGAGAAATGAGAAACTCTAAACCCTAAACCCTAAGAAACCCGTGACCCTAAACCCTAAACCCTAAACCCTAAACCCTACTAAACCCTAAACCCTAAGACACCCGTGAAGCTAAGGTCCTCTCAGGTCCTAGCGCAGTCCCAAACAGATTAAGCTCAAGGGTTTAGGGTTTAGGGTTTAGGGTTTAGGGCTTAGGGTTAAGCTCAGAGTAGAGCACACCATCGCTGGTGATGCGGGCCTATGATCCAGGAGCTGTGGGTTTAGGGTTTTTGGTGGTAGGGTTTACGGTTGAGGGTTCAGGGTTTAGGGCTTTAGAGTTTAGGGTTTAGGGCTTTAGGGTTTAGGGTTTAGGGCTTTAGGGTTTAGGGTTTAGGGTTTAGGGTGTAGGATTTTAGGGTTTAGAGTTTAGGGTTTAGTTTAGGGAAGCTCCCGAGAAGTCGTGATACACGTGACTTCTAGAACCCTCAACACGCGAGACCATGAGACCCTTCTACGAACCCTGCGCCGTCAAAGGAACTAGAAAATAGCATGGCCCTCCCGCCAGCAAGAAACTCCGAACCTCAAGCCATTCAACCTTAAACCCTAAACCCTAATCCCTAAACCCTAAACACGACACCCCGAAACCCCCGATCTGCAGATCATCAACCCCCAAACCCCAAATCCTCAACCCCGAAAGCCCAAATCCTCAACTAAATTCCAAACCCCCCAAGCCCTAAACCCCCAAACCCCTCAACCCTAAACCCTAAACCCTAAAACCATACATCCCAGAAACTTTAAATTGAATGTCCATATCAGCCCCAAGCGACCTGCTTCAAAGGAACCCAATCACAATTTGAGAAAGGTGCCTTCAATGATCCCAGAGATTGCAAAGCCCGGTAAGCAATTTCAGGTATATCCGGTATACCCCCTTAAACTGCAAGGCATGTACGGCATATATATATATATATATATATATGTATAGAGAGAGATATAAGTATGTTATATATATATATGTATAAAAATTTCCTTACTTCATAAACGGGCTTGGAGTCCCTGGAATGGCTATACGAGTTCGTCGCGTAAAGTGTTGGGTTTAGGGCTTTTGTGGTAGGGTTGTGGGATTCAAGGGTCTCGAGTTTAGAGCTTAAGGGCTCTAGGGCAGGGTTTAGGGGTTTAGGGGTTTTGGGGCTTAGTGATTGTTGGGAAACGTTTCGGTATTAAGGGTTTAGGGTTCAGGGTTTAGAATGGTGTTTTAAGTGAGATGCCCCATGAACCCTGTGCTGACCTCCAGAAACCATGTAAAGCCCTGAGACCAGGCTCAACATGTCAGCAAGCTCAATTTTGGCGCTGCAGATGCCCAAGATGACTTTGAAAACCTCGCCCTACGCCGAAAAGCCTAAACCCTAAACCCTCGGCACAAACCGAACTGCCAAGCCCACAGGCCACAAAGCAGCCCGGAACTCTTTTTAAAATAAATCGGGAAAGCGGTTCTGTCAAAAGGGTTCGGTCAGCACTTTCGGCCGAAACAGGTCGAAACTGTCCGCAAGCTAGCAGGCAACACCCTCAATAACGGACCAGATCCTAGACTGGCCTGAACTCTTACCTTGAACCCTGAACCCTCCAGCCTAAACCCTAAACCGCGAACCCTCAAGCCGAAACCTTCAACCAAGCCCTCGATTCTGGACCACTTTAGCCCACAGCAAGGGGCTGAACTCGCGCCGGCGCAGAAGCCTCGAATAAGCATGGCTTCCCCAAAGGACCCTAAGTACCACTACTGGGATACGTACGCAAACCACCATCATGGTAATCCCGAAGTTGTCTAGGGGCTTAGTGGTTGCACAAGGCTTTAGGGTTTTGGGTTGAGGGGGAATTTAGAATGTCGGTTTTAGTGTTCAAAGCAGTTTGCTGGTTGCTACTGTTTAGGGTTTAGGGTTTAGGGACCCCAAATCATGAACACTAAACTCTAAACCCCTAACCCGAGACCCCAAACCGTCGGAACCTCATCCCCAAAGCTTCAAGCCCCTTCCACTAGTTCACTAAGGCCCCAAAATAAACCGCCTTCAGAATCAGATCATAGATGGGGGTCTGAACCCAAGCACGAAACCCGACATGCTAAGACCCACACTCCGCAGACCCTAAACCCTAAACCCTAAACCCTAAACCCTAAACCCTTGATCTTATGCAACGTGAAGAGTTCAGGGCTTGGGGTTTAAGGTTTCGGGATCCCGGCTTTGAAAGGTTACAGGGTGCATTCAGATCTACGCCTTAAGCTAAGGATCTGAGGTTCAGGGTTTAGGGTTTTCGGTTAGGGTTTAGGATTTAGCTCCTAGGGTTTAAGAATTCAGACTTCATGGCTTAAGGTTTAAGAACTCAGACTTCAGGGTTTGGGGTTGTCGATTTAGAACATCTAGGGCTGCGGGGGATCAAGGGTTTAGGGTTTAGGGTTTAGGGTCTAGGGCTGCGGGGGATCTAGGGGTCGAGGGTTTAGGGTTTAGGATGCCTGGAGCCCTGACGAGATCTTGTTCGTGACCCGAATCACTCAGTCAATCAACCCCCGTCCTAATCCCGAATATCGAGGCCATCATAGTTAGAGTCTTGTATTTGGGATGTCACCCTAAGCCCCAGACCCTTTATAGTAGAACTATAGCGAGGAACCCTACGGAATAGCCCCCCCCCTCGGTAAATCTAGGGTGCAGGATGGAGTTTAGGGTTGGGGCCTTGGGTTTATGGCCGAGGTTTAGGTGTTGTAGGCTTCGAAGTTTCGGAGTTAAGGGTTCGGGACTTGGGTTTAGGGTTTAGGGTTTAGGGTTCAGGAGTGCTTTCAGCGAAGGAATCCACCGGCAAGCGGCAGAGCACTCGTCGTGCCGCGGTTACCACGGCCCAGGTGTGAGTGCACAAAGGTCTGCTCAGCGCAGAGTGGGTTCACCTCACTGGCAGGACGAAGGGTTTAGGGGTTTAGGGTTTAGGGTTTAGGGGTTTAGGGGTTTAGGGGTTTAGGGGTTTAGGGTTTAAGGTTTAGGGGTTTAGGGTTCTTGGGTTTAGGGTCTAGGGTTTTGGGGTTTACGGTTTAGGGGTTTAGGGTTTAGGGTTCGCCATAAACGCAAAGCCCTACACACCCCTCAACCCTATAAACCCAAAGCCCTAAACCCTACAAACCCTAAACCCTAAACCCCAAACCCTCAACCCTATAAACCCGAAGCCTTAAACCCTACATCCTAGACCCTAAACTCTAAATCCTCCACGGATTTAGGAAATGCAAACTTGCATCCTGGCCGCGAGTAGCGGCAGCTTCCCAGTGGTCCGAGAAGGTGTTTTTGGAGACACTGGACCTGGGTTTAGGGTTTAGGGTTTAGGGTTTAGGGTTTAGGGTTTAGGGTTTAGTGGTACTTCAGGGCGTAGGGGTTTAAGGTTATGAGTTTTGGGTTTGGGGCTTTGGGGGGCGTTGGGGGGCTTGGGGGTTTAGGGTTTAGGGTTTAGATTCCCTCCCCCACTCTCCCCTCAGCAACCAGCAGGTAGGATGCTTGAAGAATCGTGCCGGTTTGCAGTTAGTGGCAGCTAGGTTGTGTGTAGGAGTGTGGGGTATAATAATGGCGATGGCGCCACTTAGGCTACATCATACGGATTAGGTTGCTGATGGTCTCCTCAGAACAACACCCAAACTATACGCTCACTCCTAGTGAGGAGCCAGAAAGCTCACCAGAACTCTCATTACAACACTACTTTATACATCTCCACTGATAGCCTAGAAGGCCTAAACCCTAAACTCTAGACTCTAACCCTTAACTGCACACCCTAATCTCTACACCCTGAAGCTCAAACCCTTGATGAGGGTGCTGATGACTCTACTTGCAACATCTTACAACCTACTCTCTAAGTCTCTGATCCTCTCGGTAGACCTTAAGCCCCTATGGAACCCCATAGAAACCTGAAGATATCTGTAAAGAAACCTAGACCCTAAACCCTAAACCCTAAACCCTAACCCTAAACCCTAACCGTCCTAGCCCTAAACCCTAAACCTTAAACCCTAAACCCTAAACCCTAAACCCTAAACCCTAAACCCTAACCGTCCTAACTCTGAACCCTAAACCCTAAACCCTAAACCCTAAACCCTAAACCCTAAACCCTACCCGTCCTAACCCTAAACCCTCAGGCTCGTGCGCCTTCCTAGAACCTTCACCGAGAAGCGGGGGCTCAGCCATGGGCCTAAACTGCCTGGCTAGGGCTTTAGGGCTTTAGGGCTTTAGGGTTTAGGGTTTAGGGTTTAGGGTTTCCGGTTTAGGGTTTATGGTTTCCGGTTTAGGGTTTATGGTTTAAGGTTTAGGGTTTACGGTTTAAGGTTTAAGGTTTAGGGTTTATGGTTTAAGGTGTAGGGTTTACGGTTTAAGGTTTATGGTTTAGGGTTTACGGTTTAAGGTATAGGGTTTAGGGTTTACGTTTTGAAGTTTAGGGTTTACGTTTTAAGGTTTAGGGTTTAGGGCTTACGGTTAAAGGTTCAGGGTTTACGGTCTAAGGTTTCAGGTTTAGGGTATAGGCTGTACGTTTTAAGTTTTAGGGTCTAGGTCATAGGGCTGCTGCAC